AAAAAAAAAAAGACTCATTTTTTATTTTATTTTTTGAATCATTTTCACTCTCCAGGACGTAGAGGCAAATTCCAGGTAAGCTTGTTTTGTCCATAGATGCGTGTGATTTTAGTTGTGAAGGGACAAAGGGTCTTTGGGTTCATGAAAATTTATTTGCAGTTTTCTGAAATGGAAGTCTTTGATTCTTATACACGGGTTCAAGAAGTGATGATTCTGTTGGAGAAAACGAGTAAATGATTCACTTTTGAGTCAATTTTCGGTGGGATCCGTTGGTCCAATTTGGAAGATCAAAGTTGATCCATGTTTTCCTCTGTGATAGCATCAAAACCATATATTTACTTCCCAAAAATGAAGCTCGGGTGAATGAAAAATTGGAACTCAAAGTTAACTATTGGAAGATGATTTATATGGAAAAATATGATTTGTCCTACATAGGAAAATGAAGAAAGCATGAACCACTTTATATATGACTGCACTTTGGAAGGGTGTAATCATGTATAGTGTAGAGGCTCTCTTCATGTGGGCACGAGGGGGTGCAAATCAAAGACCGAAATAGCTTTCGGACCTTGAACTTGTGTGCGGGCACGACATTCGTGTAATGCTTTCTCTAACTGACTTTTAAGTGTCTGAAATTGCTAAAACTCTAGTAGAAACTGAAGTAACTCCAATGTTTATTGCTATAGAGTTAACGACAGATTTATCATATATTAAGTCTCACTTTTCAGTAATTTTCTCACACGCACTAGAAAATACACAAAAATATACAGTCTGCATATTATTGTTCTCCGTGTCTGTCTGCATATATAATCTCGAGTTCTGTCAGTGTCGTCTTGGTGGTGATATTGTTCGGATACTAATAAGTTTGTCGGAGTAGTATCCGCGGTACTCAGATCCTATTGATTTTACCGTTGTATCCTGGGAAATAGACGCTCGGATTAAATTTTAAGTACCTACGGTGAGGGGCGAATTTGTTTTAAGGAAACTGTGCTCACATATACCTTGAGTTAAAAGTTCATCCGTTATTTATTTAATTCCTGCGATTTTACATAATTCTACAATTTATTTGTGTGCTTTATATAATTTGCAGTTTTATTAATTTGTCGTTCTATTTATGTTTATTAAAAATTAATTTGCGTTATTTGGCCAACTAGATTAATTTGATCAAATTAATTTGTTTATTTTATTGCAATTTAAATCTGCTATATTTTATCTTATTCATTGTATATACGGTATATGCAAATACGTGAATCCGTTGCGTATACGGTATGCTGTTACAAATACGATATACTGTTGCATAAACGGTAAATTGTTGCATATACGGTATGCTGTTACAAATACGGTATGCTGTTGCAAATACGATATGCTGCTTGTAAATACGATATGTTGTATATACGGTATGCTCAAATTGTTAATAAATTAAATACATATTGAAAAATGAAAAGTAGAGTATTATTGAAATAATTAAATATATATTAAAAACAAAAAGCAGAGTATTTTTAAAGTAATTGAATTATATTGAGGATATAATTGTTCAAAAAATTATTCTCATTTAATATGATCAAATGATTAATATATTAAAAACATATTGAAAAACGAAAAGTAAGATGTTATTGAAATAATTAAATACATATTAAAAAACGAAAAGTAAGGTATTATTGAAATAATTAAATTACGGTAAGAATAGACTTGTCCAAAAATAATTCTCGCTTGATGTGATATTTGAAAAACGAAAAGTAATATATTATTAAAATAATTGAATTAGAATAAAAATAAAATCATTCAAAAAATAATTATCGCTTGATGTGATATTTATTATATTATAGATATATTAAAATCCAAGAATAGGAAAAGGTTTCAAATGCATTATTATTCAGCCACAGACAAATGCAATATAGTTGACAAGGTGTCCTTTGAAGTGACAGAAGCCAATATCTACATAAATCAAAGTGCCAAATGGGATAAATAAATTGCAAGTGGATAAAGTTGGTGACAGGCCTAATTTTAACCTTGAAAACAAAAGCTCATTTTTTGTCACCTTTTCACTCTCCAGGAAGTAAGAGCAAATTCAAGAAAACAAACCCAAGTAAGCTTGTTTTGTTCATAGATGTGTGTGACTTAGTTGTGAAGGGACAAAGGGTCTTTGGGTTCTTGAAAATTTATTTGCAGTTTTCTGATATGGAAGTCTTTGATTCTTATATGCGGGCTCAAGAAGTGACGATTCAATGCTTTGGATACTAAATAGTTAGATGATTCAAGTTCTGTGATTTTGATTATTAGAAGTGGTTCACTTACATTTTTGACAGACATTCAATAAATTTGTTTGATTTTGCTTTTTATAAATCTGGGTGTGGTTTGCTCGTTTTCTACTATTGTTCTTCCTCTCAAAAATATCAATCATGCTTAATTCGCAACACTTGTTGATTATGGATACTGTTATCTGTATTCACTAGTCCTGATTGGCTTTAGATAAAAATTAGAATTTTAGTAGATTTTAATAAAAGTTAATGGAATGTATAGCTGAAAAGATGGGGCTGTTATGGTTGACTTAGGTTTTAATCAGAATTTTTAGTTGAACCAAACAGGGGCTGATCAGTAGTGTGCTCAAGTCTGTTTTACATGAAAACTAGTGCTCTGATATTTGCAATACAAGTGAAGATGATGAAATTTTAGTTTCCGTCTGGGAATGGAGGGAATACTGATTTTATTGCTAACTAAGAGTTACAGGGATAGAAAGATTAGTGTTTAAATATTCTGTACCGATCGTTCGTCTCAGGGATCTTAGCCATACTGAGGATTATTGAAACGAGGCTCTTTGTTGATAGTTGATACCACGTAATTTTCTTCTTTCGGTTAACAAAATTTGTGTCTTTAAAATCTATTTTGGCTGAAGTTAGACTCAATTCAAATAGTTTATCAAGTCAGCGTCTGTTGTATTTGGTAGTTGCTTCAAATTGTGTGTACCAAACATTTGCTAAAGAGTTGGCTGATTTATCATATGAAAGAAATCGAATCAACTTTGATGTTTACTTAATTACATTCTTTCCGTTTAGGCAAAATGAGAGGAACACAAGCAATCTTCTCACACGGGAACGTGCTCAAGAATGCTGTTCTGAAACATGTGCGTTTAGTGACTCCAGCCATGCGGCCTCTTATGTTTGTACGTCACGAG